CAATCTAAATTTCCTGCCTTTGCATGAAAAAAGTCCACTACATACTGAAACCATAATACTCAAAAAAAGCAGGCCTCTATTATAGATTTTTTAAAATGTAGGTATAATCGTGATACACAATTATAAGTGCATGCAACGAGTTTACTGTAGTTTCTGGTTTAGTCCAGACAAGATTTTTCTGCCAAACTTCGTGCTCTTCCTATTAGAGGATTCCAAAGGATTGCGTACCTATGTTAAAATAACTTAACACTTTGCATTTAGAAAGCAGAAGAAACTGAAAATTTTCTTAATGGTTTTCGAAGTACAGCAACTCCCGTATATAGATGTGTTAAACTTTATTCTTTCCAGCAGTATCATACAACACTCTTTCTGTGTATAAAAATCTTTTCGCAAACAAATCACAAATACAATATAGTCGTTTTGATTAGAATTATGGCATAAATGCTAAAAAGAACCAAAAATAAGGTACGGGGATGTTGTCTAGTCGTCACAATGTCTATTAAAGGACTGGCGATGGGGAAAGGAGAAGATTTACGGCAGTGCAGTGATTAGCAAAGAAATCGCCAGTAATATCAATACATACGAAAACATTAAAGGACCTCTAATATGCCATTTCGGCGACTGCGTAATCGCCGGTGGTCATCCACTTGCGATCGGGTTTCTGCCGCATTTGTTCAGCAACTTCTTCTGACAGACCTGCGACAGCCTCGGACTTGAGCGCACGTAGAGCAAGCATAGGTGCCGGTAGGAAACCACAGAGAGCGCGCTGGAAATTTCTTATCCATTGAAAGCTATTACTAATTTGGGAGAATAGGACACAACTAAATTGTGTTTGCTTTGTTTTTGGCCTCGCATTTTAAATAGTCTGTATAATTCCAGCCTTCTCGATGGTGCGAAGGTTCATAGCAATTCTAAGTAAAGCAAAATATTAGGGATCTTGAACGGACCACAAACCCCAAGTTGGAGTCAGTTGGTTCTTTGAAATAGACCAAAATTTCGTCTACGCATTATGGTATTGGTGTGCAATTGCACTATGACATGTTTACTGTAAAATTTGAATGAGAACATCTTTAATAAGGCTAGAACATCATAAATGAACAATAGTAACGCATTAATGCTGGACCCTATTCAGTAACCTTAAAGACAATGATTTTTTGTTTGGTTTAATAAATCGGCGGTAAAAAAAGTATTGCTACTCCATTTGTGGTTTAGTTAGAGTATTAGTCAATTCATTCTGTGCCTTGTAATATCAATAACATAAAAATACGGTAAACAAATGTACTATACCTTAAACGGTGTTTCAAATGGCCAGTCCCTGTCAGAAATTAACTTCCGGTAATTTAAGTCTCCTTTAAATATAATGATCGATGCTTCGGATAGCTCTTTGTAAAGATCCGCTGCTAATGATTTCATTTCACAGTATGGATGCGGGTAAGTCCAAAATCGGTGGTCATGGAATACGAGTTCGTTCTGAAAGTCTATTTCAAAGAAACAAGTTTCTCTGCCATATCTCTATTTAAATTCTTTTGATCTTGATGTCTTTTGCTATTTTATATTTATTGCAGATAAGTTAATAGTATTTTGGTTGGTGTTTATAATTGTTTGTTTTTTTTTGCACACCTCTACCTAACAAACAAGTTAGAAACTTGGTTTCTTTTGATTCTAAAACTTCCTCTTTTTGCTTAACTGCCGCTATCTGTTTATCTATTTATTCAAGTAATCACCTTTTTCACTCTTTCACTCAGCTTTTGATACATCTGCCTATAGACACCACCAAGCTTGTTCAACTCCGCTAGCGTCCATTCGAAATCACGACCTGTGACGTCTGAGACGAAGTACGGGTATTCCTAAAATAACAATTGACATATATAGAAACAAAAACAAAATTCAAGAAAATGAAAATAACCGCACCTTCCCATGCAAAACAGTTTTATCAACAAGTTTTGTTTCCATGACATACTCCGAAAGAATGAG